GTGGGGAAGCAAGAACAATTCAGGTATAGCCTTGAAGGGAAAGTCACCCTTAAAGGGCAGTTTAACTTCTCAGAGTACATATGAATCAACATACTAGGGGCTGAACAGAGCAGTGTATTTTACAGACAAGAACCTTAAAAAGCACACAGCAACTCAATGATGTTAGAAGTTCATAAGCCAAAAAAGGCTCTAAAAGCTATAAAAGTTCACCTCCCAAGGTGATAATTTGTTAGTGTCGTATTTGTTGATAAGTGATATTTGATTTAGGTCAAGGATACCTTAATTCAGTACCTAAATTATCTACTTCTTTCACACTCCAAAAGGGGAACAATTGTATGGGGCTTATGCCTCTAAGTTGAACATATAAAGAAATAGGAAATAATTTAAAGCTAAATTAAAATAAATAAATAAATAAAAACAAGCACCTTGTCCAGTCCACTATAAAACCTCTAACGGGCTAATATGGTTAACACAGCACCTAGAGCTAACAGGCAGCACTTCCAGCAGTCAGATAGTAGCAGTTAGCAAAATATTTTTTTTGTATAAACTCATCTGTGCAACATAGATCCGTGTTTATTTTGTCAAGGACAATGTTGTGCTTGTTGTTACAACTTGATAACAAGAACATACAAAGCCAGGGTCTTTTCCAGACACTTTTTTCTACATGCTTGCTCAAGGAATATCAAAAGAAGGTTTTGTTGTTATTTGGCATTGTTTTCAGCTCATCTGTTCACCTGACTGAATTCAGCTGTTAGGAAGATTCACTTTTCCAAATGTCCCTAAGCACCAGATATCTCACTGTCAAAGGTAATTAATTATCAGCTTCCAACTGATCTTGGCAGGGTTTAGCTGCAGTGTTGCTTCTACTAGATGCCTACAGCTCAATGTCTGATGCAGAAATAAAGCCCTTCCTGCTTGCTGCAAATTTAGATGTTCATATCTCAGGAGAAAAAAAAAAAGAAAAAAAAAAAGAGTGAAAAGAAAACCCATGTACATGGACAGAAGCTAATACTCTGAAGTTGGCACCTGCCAGGCATCTGCTAACGGAGCAGTTTGGCATGAGCTGGAAAGAAGCAGGGTTGTGCTGGCTGTTGAACTAGAAAGGGGCTGGGAGGAAAGGAGAGCCCTGGTCTCGCATGAACGCAAAGTGTATGTGGGGCCGGGAATGCATTCAGCGATAACTCGCCTGGTGGAGGTGAGGAATTGATAATGCAAAGCTCCAGAGCAAATTGGATGGGCTTGCCAAAGCCAAGCCACACAAAATGTTGCCATGCTTATTGAGTCACCCAAAGAAAGGGAACGGTGCTCAGCCTGAAGCACAAAGGCTCTGTGGTCCCTCCCAAGGGCTGCAGGTAGAGACAAACATTCAGATTTGCTGCCTGGTATCATCAGGGAACACAGAGCACAAATGGGTACAGAGAGGTGACAAAACGTCTTGGGATCCACCTTTGCTGGATAACTCCTAGAAAAGGTCTCGTGGGAGTTCAGACTGATTGGTTTATCACTGTCTTCTCTGCATAATGGGCAGTCTGACTGATTTTATTGATCCTCAGTTATTTTCAATCCTCTATGCTTCGTTAGTTCAGGCAGCCAATGTACATAGTTACAGTCCAATAAGTCAGTTTCCAGAGCGGATGCAAATATATATTTATGGTGAAAAATGTGCATTTTAAGGTTTTAACAATAGACAAAGCCCAGTCTGTTTTTTTACACATTTGAGAAAAAAAATGTTATAAATTATTACACAATATAAATATAAAATTACAGTTATATTTTTAAAGGATTATTTCTTTGGTGTTTGAAATAATACAACAAAAATAAGCAGCAGTCGTACTCTGCGCTAGGGAAATCATTTTTTTTTATGTGCTCCTCCTGCAGCCCTGGCTCTAATCAAAATTCTTATTCTATGACTAATGAATTTAGAGTTATGCAAGAAAAGAAAAAGAGAAAACAGGAAAGAAAATTAATAGAGTGACCTAGCAAGTATCTGGCTGTTGGGAGAAAAATAATTAGCACTGATGAAGAGGAGGACCGAGCTTGAAGAATTTTAGTAGCAAGGGCACTAAGGGCAAGGAAAGTCACATTAAAACAGAGACGGAATCTCTGGTGGGTCATTTGAATTTCATCTGCAGGGCAATTTTCATGCCATTTAGCCATAGCCGCAGCAGAAATAAAGAGGACTAAACACATTATTAAAACGACAAAGTCATACAAGGGAGGATTGGGGCACACAGGCATTACATTTGATAAAATTCAATGATACGGTAGGCTGAGCTAGTGACAAATAAGGATCTGAAGTGTTTAGACAAAGATAAAGAAAGCTGCAAGAGAGGGGGCTGTAGTAGACTGATTTAGGGTTCCTGGTATATTGAGAATCCATGAAGTACAAAGAAAAGACTTCTGGCCTCAAAAAAGCAAAATAACAAAACATCCCAAGCTGTTAACAAGGTTTGCAATTGACACTGTGGGTGGTGTCTGTTTATTTCAGATAGCTCAAAGAAATACAGTATTTTTATGAGTATGTTAAGTATTGTTAGACCCAGCAGCAACTAATTAGTGGATTTAGGACTTGAGAAAATAGGCTTTTATTCAAAAATTTTGCCTCCCTTGAAATTCCAATAAACCTTTCAGAATAGAGTTACATGACTGAGATTTGTGCTAAGTGGATGATGTGGCAAAGAAACAATAAGAGGCTTTCTTTCAGATCACAGGATGCAGTAGAAAAACAAATGCAATTGGACAAATTGGGCTGTAGAGGGCTTGATAAGACTCCCCAGCCCAAACAGGCTTCCTATTCTGCAGCAGGATTAACCCAAGATTAGAGCAGATGGTGATAACACTGTCTGTCCTCCCTCGGGATTTCCAGCGTGTAAGAGCAGCCTTAAGTTTGTGGCTGGGCTGTGCAGGCTCTCCTGTTGGTGTGGTTTGCCACATGCTCCTTTGAGTCACTTCATCTCCCAACAGGCTGAACAACCCTGCACTACGTTTATGCTGTAGTGCACCGTGTAGTGTGGGATTTGGATTTACGAGTAAAGCCTCTACCACAGAAACACATTGATGTGGAGGCACATTCAACATAACGTAGTACTAGTGAAGGCAGATTTAACATAACGTTATGCTCTATCCAGCTGTACAGCCCTACCTCATGCTGTCCACTTCCAGCATGACCCCTGCTTGCAGGTCTCCTTCCACAGGCTGCTCTCCATGCTTTCACAGAGCAGCTTTGGATAGTTTGGCCCAGAGTGGTTATTTATGCTTAGCACGAACACAGGAGGCTTGTCCAGGGAAACATCTTGCCCACCTAAGAGAAAAGTTCCTCTTGCAAGCACAAATGGCTGTTCTAAACCCCAGCTCCTGGTAGGATGCCACTTTCTGAGGCAGCGAGGAGTGGGCACTGCTGTGTGCTGCCTTAATTCAGGCAGCCCTGTCCAGTGGCACGTGCCCACAGAAATGTTTCAGGAGCCAATGCAAATAATTTTTACGGTGAAGAACATGAATTTGAATTTTCAGTCACAGAGTCTGGCCTACTTACTTTTACACGCCTGAAAAAAAAAAAAAAAAAAAACGACGCAGATGATTATACCCAACATATACAGCATGGAAGAATTATCTTGCAACCATTTCTCAAATGTCCATCTTAAGATCTGATAGGGTACAAATACAAAGTAATAATGCGAGCAAAGCTGAGGATTCACATATACATGAAAGAAGAGTTCCTGAGTGTGGAAAACAATATATTTCAGAGCTTCAAAACATTTTTGGTTTCTTAAAGTTGAGGCTTGATCCAACATCCATCAATGAAAACATTTAATAAATCCAAAATGGAAAAAAAAAAAAAAAAGAAGAAGAAGAAATCAGAGATCATGAAGCAAACTGGTATTTGTGTTACGAAAAAATAAGATTCAACTGACTGTAGAATTTGACCAGGCCACCACCCTCGAATCATTTACATTACTCATAGCATTTCCTGGAATAACAAAACAAAATGCAGCCACCTTGTTTTTTACAATACAGTATTTAAGCTGCTACCATTTTAGGAATAATGGTGTTCATAGTGTGACCTGAAAATGCTGTTTTTATTGGATTAACTGTCATGTTCCGACTTGTGTAGACAGGAGTTCATTTCATCCTGCCTTAGCAGTGAGAGAATATGATGCAGAAACAAACAACATAATAGTTTTATAGAATTTAAGATTACAAAGGACTATGATTACCTCATTTAACTTTGTGTACATTATAGGCCAAAAATTACATACTAAAATGTGCATCAAGCTCATATGTTCATGTCCGCTCAAAAGCATATCACCTAAAGAAAATCCAGCTTTGTTTCAAATGCTTCAAGCAACAGAGCCTCCACCAAATCCACTCCAAAGTTTTTCCTGTGACTAATTATATTCACTTTGAAAAATGTGCAGCTTCCTTCAAGCTTGATTTCATCTACATGCAGCTTTATTGCCAGGCATCATGGGATTTTTGCTAGATAAAAAAAACAGTTCACTATCATATTGTTCACAAACAAAACTGTGAACGAAATAAATGTTAATATATCAAGATATTTGTTTGAATAAGGTGGGGCAGCATAAGAGAAATACTAGTTTTTTCTGAAAGGAATATATAATTTTCACTTAATACAATGAAGTAAGTAACCTTTGCTGTGATTTTAGGTTGTCAAGGAATAACCAAACCCAGTTCTGTCTTGAGAAATGATTCTCAGCTGCCTTGTGTAAGCATATCTTATGCAATGTAAAAGCAGAACATAATTAGATTAGTGTTTCCTACTCACACTTATCCAGTGCTAATTATCTCCCCATCCCTCACTTGTGGATGTGCATGTGGAAACACACAAGCAACTCCTTGGAGAACTGGCCCCATAGACACCTGAAACGCTGTTAATCTGATTACTTTCAGAAACTTACTGATATGAAAGACAAGAAGTATTTAAAGGTAAAGATAAATTCAAATGTCAGTTTCTTCATACAAGAGTAGCATTTGTAAGTCATTTAGGTACGATACAACAAGTAGCCACTAAAAGTAGTGACTGGTGGATACTTGGCAGGGATAGAGCCAGTTGCCAGTCTAAGCCAGACTTCCTGACCATAATTCAACTCTAATAACGCATTTCCAGTAATTACCCTGTCAGTGTACTTGTTACTATTAATATTTTCAACCTGAAAAGTGAGTTTGTCTATTCCATCAACGACCAGATAGCCAGAGGCTCGTGGACTAAATGATTCAATGGTATATTCAAAAACATAGACCCCAAGATACGGAACATGAAACTTCCCCGTTGCTGGGGCATACGATGCTCCGTAGTTGACATCCAGATTGTTAAACCTAATGGGCCCTGGTGTTGTCATCCCATAGGTATGAGAGGCAAAAAAAGCCACCATTGGTGCATATCTGTATGATCCTTTTGAAAAATCTGTAAAAGAGAAAAAGAACAATTTTAAGTAATATTCTTGATCTTTCCCTCCTCATATTACACTGTAGGCAGGTCAGTCAGAGTGGCCTGAAGATCAAAAAGTGTACAAAGCTTTTCTGAAATCACGTTTGTAAATAGCTTGAGCAATTAAAATAGAAGCTAAATAATTTCTTTCTGTATTGTAGAAAAAGTATTTTTCTTCACAATTAGTGCCATTCACCAAAAAAATAGATTTTAGAAACAGCAAGGGAACTTTATGCTTTATTATACTATATTGTCGTTAAAAGAACTGCTATTTTTGTTTTCTTTCCCTTCATTCCTCCCTGCTCCACTCTGTTCCTACCACAGGATTTCTTTCCCTCTGCCACTGTATCTGTATGTGTGTGCTGAAGCCAAGAGTTTTCCTTGCATATCTTAGACAGATATTGGAGAGGTTTAGCACTCTTGACATTAAATGGGGAAATAAAAGTCTATATTTTTCTATTACAATGGATCATATATATATACATATATAGGATTCCTAGCACTGTAAAAATGATTTTGCTCAGTATTTTTATGTTGTCATAAATGAGAATCAGCCAAACAGCTGCAGAAAGCTGCATTAAATTCACATTTGATGTGGCCAGGATGTAAATTATTTATTTGTTCTCCAGACTGAACGAGCATAGTTTCTACATTCCCTTTTTGAAACATCTTTCAAGGGCTGTGTCCCTTTCCACCGAAAATAAGTGCGTGCCTAAAATGACTCCTTGAGGCCATAGTCCCAGATATTACAGGAGCTACTGGTATTTATATTGCTTTTCTTGCCATGCTGAAGCTAGTTATTCCCCAGTGATGTGATTTCCTCTCCCCGCCTTGAATTCCATGATGTTGTGTTCAAATATATCTATTGCACAGCCTCTCTCAGCAACCCCTGTGCAATTCAGCAGGGAGCTTTCTGGCTATTATGGTTGGTCCCAGCCCAATTTAATCCCATCGTTTGGTCATATTAGAGAAAAAGATCCTGAGTTACCCATGGGGATTGATTTCTTGAGCGCCAAAGCACAGGACACTACCAGTTGAGCTGACGCTCATTAAAGTGAAATGTGAGACCTTTGACCAGCAAACGCTGTCTAATTAGACCCCGGGGCAGAAGCCCATACTGCCAGCATATTGCACTACTAAATTTTTTACTTGCCCACATTGAGAGAATTGTCATCCACCAACTTCATGCTGCAATTGACTCCTCCAAAGGGGTGACGACAAGCACAGATAAAACTCTGTCTGTCACTGATACAGGTTCCTCCATTCTGGCAGGGAGAACTGACGCAGGCTGAATACTGTCCTGTGGTAAAAAGGGAGGAAAACCAATAACCTCAGCTGAAATGGCATGTGCATACCTGAGCATTCACTACAATGAAGTCTCTTTATTGATTCATAAAGAGGGTGGAAATTCTTCAGAAGCTGTGATCAAATCCTGTTCAGGCTGTTTTGCCTGGACACAGCATAACCTCAACTAGGATCTGATACACACAGAATTACCTACACATACAGAGCTCTGCTTGTCTACAAGTGTCTGACATAAAATTAAAGATACTATGAAAGCACCTGAGGCAGGATGGCCCTGTGGGTAGTCCTCAGGCCAAATCCTGTTTGGAGGCTGCTCATTCCCTCCCACACAGTGGTGGCTGCTGAGAATCCATCTCTTCTCGTCACAGGCTGACACAGAAACCTGCAGTCCACCCTGCGCTGGCTGCTCACTGCCCTCTTCCAGCTGGCAGTCACACAAGCAGCAGATGTTTTTGTGCTGAACACTACACTGCTGCCTTAGCCCATTTCCTTTCTTCATGTATGGCAGCCCTCAGATATCAGAGCAAACCAAGACAAATGTGAATATCAGGCAGTCTGTGATCATGTGGTTAAAGAAATAAGCTGAACGAGCTAGTTAATCTTTCTCAGAGAGGGAACAAGCTGAGAAGCTTGGAGCTGACCATACTACAGTAGTCCTTTTGAAGCAAATAGCAAAACTTGGAAGAAGAAATGCAGTTAAATCCAATTTTATTTCCTTCTTTTGAAGAGGCAAAAGAATTAATTGTCTTCCTGCTACTCCAGACCAAGCTGTGTTTTGTCAGCTTTCCTTGACGCAAGGCCTAGCAGGCTCCCTCACACAGCAGAGCTGGTTTGGTTTTGGGCATCCCAAACTGCGGCTGGGCCGTCCCGGCTGTGACGTGACTCACTCAGATGTGTCTCAGGAACTGGGGACAGTCTGGCTACTGGAATTAACACACCTTCAGTGCTATCCAAACATATTCCAGGACTTGCCCTTATCTATTCTACCAATTCTACCACCAGAATGAGACCAGAGACCACTGTAGAAGTTCCACAGAGACTGTAGCTCTCATTGCGAGCAACATAAGTTGCACCAAACAGGTGGATTTGCAGAGCCCTAGTCACCCTTCCCAAGCATGTCTCAGCTGGGCAAATTATGCCCAGATGGCATAGGGGACCTGCTAGCTTCTGAGCGCCGAGGCAGTAGCTGCCAAATGTAGTTAAATAGCCTTGTTATAACAGTTTTAGGAGGAAAAACATTCAGGATACAACAAAAATCAAATATTGCTATAAAAAAATCAAATATACACAAGCCATCTATAGACACTACTCTCAGGACATGAACTTGCACATTTTTCCCTTTTTCTTGCATTAGTCAAATACAAGTCAGATGTTTCAGAAAAATGAGCTTTTCCTTTGCCAGAATCTACCAACAGAGATCTAGAAAGAAAATCTCAGAGCAGAAACAAGGCATAGTCCTATGTCGCATATATCTAAAATTGCTGGATGGGAGTGTCAGTAAAGGGTTTGCTTATTGCCACGGAAGTGCAGAGCTCCATCGTCACCCAGATACTTCGGTAATGCCCCCAGTGATCTCTAGATTCCAGGCCAACCATTATACAGATATTGAGGCAAACTCTTTCTGTGAGAAATTTTAGTCCAGTGAGCAGAATGTTGCAGCACATGTTATAATACTACTTGAATTTGGACTGCTGAAGCATAGGGACTTAAATACAAACAGTACTTTCCACAGAAAATGCTATCCATCCACTAATGCCTGAAACACGCAATTCTGAATTGCCACCAGGGTCACGGCACAGACAAGTGCACACAAGGACATTGTGTTTCTTCTCAGATAATAGTCTTGCCTGTAGACTTAAACAGAAGTGAAGAATAACTTCAGTTATCACACATCCACAACTGCCCAGGAGTTGTGTGAAAGGAAAGCAGGAAATAAGCAACACAGTTGATTTTGCTGACTGCATCGCGCTCTCAAAATACCAGAGCTTCAGGTAAGACACATCCTAGCCTCTCTTACTTAGTCTATGCTTACTGTAAACAAGAAAAGTATATTCAAGAAATGCAAGAAAAAAAACAAAAACAAAAATAAAAAAACACACACACACACACACAGAAAGGAAGTGACAGTGAAGGATTATTTTGCATGAATTTAACCTCAGAGTTAAGTCAAATTCAGGCATTGCTTTACTTAGGGTAAACTGACTGTAATAAATTGGTACTACTTAACAATAGCTAGAAGTCTATTCCACTCCCTATAAACCAGGAAAAGCTGTGAGGAGGATGAGTCAAGTTGGGAGTTTTGGAATAAGGCAAATGCACTGGAACTCCACTGAGCAGGTGATATCACTACGTCTTTTCCATGTGGCTCTACAAGGGCATATTCTTTTTGTAGTTTCTGGCACACGCTCCTCCTCACCAGCCCCTGCCCCGTTCTTCTTTTTCATCTTCCTTTTTAACAGGCATCCTGACACAAAACGTCCCTGCTACATATTCCTTCATTGGGGTAAAGATGCCAAGAGCCTCAGAGGAGAAACAGTTTTCCAGCTATAGTGCATACTCTGTTTATCCAAGTTAGTAGGATAGGTGAGCAAAAAAAGGGAGTAAAAAATAAATGAAAGATTAAAACTGAGGATACTAAGAGCAGAAGATAAACTAGAAGCAGTTGCTCTTCACCCACGATACGATGGGACTGAGCATAGGTGGTTAATGCAGAGTTTTGCTCTCTTTGTGAAGGCAGGCACCAGAGGGTCTTTCAGGGAACAGACTGCCAAAGCTGTACAAACAAATCTTCAAATGGATCAGAAAGCTCTGTCAGTATCTACTAGGGTACTGTTTAGAAGAAAATCAAATATTTAGTGATTGAATAGTCTCCTTATGGAAAACACTGAATAAAGTGATTTCTTCCCCTATAAAGGTATTCTACCTCTAGCTATCATAAATCTTTTGTTTTGTCCATTCCACAACATAAGAATTCCCCAAACACATATCCACCTTTGTACAACCTTGTATTGCTTCCCCTTTGATTTCAAATGTCTGTTTAAGTAAGTATTACCTCATGGTCACATCCTGAGCAGATTAAATTTTTGGAATTTTTCATTGACTTTAGTGTAGATGAAATACCAAACATGTTGGAATCAATGAGAATTAAGTCACTCACCTGGGTAGTGGTCATGGCATTTGATCCTCATCTTGCAAATTAAAAAGACCACTTTAAATCTAATACATTTTCTAATTACCCACTTGTATCTTAGGATATTCTTTAGAAGCTCTAGTAGAGAAAGTAGTAGGAAAAATTTTTATTCCTGTCTGGTGCCAAAAAGCATAACTTCAGTTTCGTATTTCTCTGAACTCATACACATGAACTCATTTCGTATGATGATGTCTGAATTTAAGCTGGGAAGTCATTTATATTCAAAATGTTCTTTTTAAGAGCATTTTGATTCAGCAGAGCTATTCCCTGAATGGACTCAGTTAAACCTACTCTATTGGCTGGACTCCTGATCCTGCCAGAATGCATAGTTAAGGCTGTACCTGAACTAATCATCGTAATGAGGTCCTGAAAGAGCTGGCAAAAGCCTCATGACAATCATTTCACTTGCTTCAAGTTTTAAATATTTCTTATTCCTCACTGATCCAACTCCAGCTTTCTCTCTTTGGGTTGCACATTTTTACTGAAATGGGTTTCTCATGAAAATTAAATGGAGCTTCTGGATGCCTTTGTGCAGAGTCTCCTCACAAGAAAAATACATTGTTTCATGATTAGGTTCAGACTAGAGTAACATCTACTTCCTCTGGAACATCCTTCATAACATTCTTTGGACTTTTTATTCACCTTCAACCAAGTTCTTTAGTCACTTCCATTAGGATTACCTTTTTGACTCAGTTCATCCCAATGATTACATAAGCCTTTATTATGAGGTAAAAGAATCTAGTTATAGGTATGGTAAAACTCATTACCTGAATCCAGAGAGTTATCTGTGTTTCTCTGGCTCCGGCCTGCCAGGCTCACAGTGAAATTTGCTGTGCCTTTTTTCCCTGGCAGTGGTTTCTTTACTACTGGTTTCACTAGTTTCTGAAGTTTGGTCATGTTGTTCATTACACTTTCCAGCGTTATGTTGATGTGCTGGGTTAAGTTCCTCAGGATGGTCTCTGCTTTTATGTCAAGCACAGATTCAACGAGCTCTTTAAAGCCTCTCTGCAGCAGTGGGATATCTGGCTGAGCAAGTTTAATCAGCACAGGAATACTTGTGTTCACTTCTTGGATGCTGCTGGCGGCATCCTGACAGAGCCCCCAGGCCTCGTGAGCAGTCTTGTTCACAAGGGGCAAGCTATTTGAAAAGCGGATCGACTTGGCTTCCAGTGCCTTCACCCTAGAACTCAGTGCCTGAAGCTGAAGTGAGACCATTTGCTCTTTCTCTGGCAAAGCAGCTTTGTTTCTTTTCAGAGATAGACAGTTATTTGCCAAAAACTTGGAAATTTTTGACTCCACACTCTGCAGGCGTACTTCATGGTCCTTTGCTCCCTCCACAAAGTCAGTTAGTTTTTCCTCCAAGTGGTTGATATCTTGTTGTTGATTGTCTACTTTTGATGAAGTCTTATTCAAAATATAGTAAACTTGTCTGAAATTGTTGAGGATACTTTTATTAGATACATCATATGGAAGACTAGAAAGGGACTGAGCCACTTCTGAAATGAATTCATGCTTGTTCTTGTCTGGGAGCAGTATCCAGAGGGATTCATTCAACTGTTGGAACTGGGGAACAAAAGCCAGAAGGGTGTCCAGCTTCTCAACTTTGCCACAGCAGACCTCAGTTTCATTTTTCAGAGCACTTAGTGTACCTTTCAGTACATAGTTATCTTGAATAGAGTCAACGGCGCTGTTTATAACTACCATGGTCTTATTTAAACCATCTTCTAGGTCCATGAAGCACTCATTAATACGGCTCTCAAAGAGTTCCTGGTAAGCCCGAGATTCATTTTTAAGTCCTTCCTGAGTTTCAGAAAGTTCCCTAATTGCTGAACTCATTTGGTTCATGACAATTGTCAGGTTTTCAAGCTTCCTGTTAATTGCTTCAGCTTCAATTTGCTGCTCATATTCTGAAGTCAGACTGAACGGTGCCCCTTGTTCAATCAAGGGTTGCAGGATTTCCATGTCATAGCACAAATCGTTAATCTGCTCATTCATTTTGTCCATCTTATTGTCCAATGGAAGGATCAGGTCAGAGAGGCTTCTGTTTAAGACAAGAACATTCTGCTGGGTTGCTGCCAGTTGTGTTTGGAAATCCTTTCTGCATGCTGACAGCACGTCATCACAGACTCCCTGAACAGAGTCTCTCTGAAATTCCAGTGTGAGACTGAGATTGCTGATCTTGCTATCCTGGACTCTTAAGTCATCATAGATCTGCAGCATCATCAGGCCCTGTTTCTTCACTTTCTCATGCAGCACGAACATGTACTCTGTAACATTGTACTCTGCGACTTGATCTGCTGAAGGGATCTTTCGGCTGGAGGAATGTTCAGCTGTTAGCAGTTGTTCGTGCACATCTTTCATTTCGGTAAGGGTCTTATTTAGAGATTCGTAGTAAATGATGCTTCTTGACTGCTGATGCTCCAGGTTATCTTCCAAGGATTTTTGCTTTACCTGTAGGGCTTTCATAGGCTTGTCGCAAGTGAGGGTCATCTCCTCTTTCATCTGCACTATATGGCTCTTGAGCTCCAGAACATCAAGCTTTGTCAGCCCACTGTCTATCTGCTGAGCAAGTTTTTCTTGGGTACCATTCAAATGCTTGACTATTACTTTTGTCCTTTCAAGATCTTCTGATAAACTAGACACAGTCTTGAACATTTGAGCCATGTTCTCTTGCATTTCATTTTGAAACACTTTAAGCTGTTCTTTGACGATATCTTTGACTAATTCATTAATCATTCTTGATTTGAGTCCTTTAGGAAAATAAAAAAATAGAAACAATCAAACCAATTCTGTTAGTAATAATGACATTCAAAACATGAGGAAACTTGCCCTGCAGTACAGAACTGAAATGTAACCGATAGCCCCTTCTGTTCTGCCACTCACTCAGCAATATGTAAAGACATATTTAGGGGACAGTTAATGCTGTCTGAAGACTCGTCTCTTTCTAGTACAATCAATAGCAGCTTTGCTCTTGATTTTGAAATGGTAGATTCAGACCCTGCATATATGGTACCAACTTCTGCATACTGTAGTTTTCATTATAAGCTTCTAGGAACACTGATCCTAAAAAAGTACTAGCAAACATGAGGGAATTCCAGTCTATGATTCATACTAAAATGCCTCCCTGTCTTAAGTTGTTAACAACAGCCCCACTACACACACTTTACCCATCAAAACAGTGTCCATGAAGCCCCTGCATAACAAATTTGGGCTAACCAGTAATTCTGCCCTGTTTTTGAAGATTAGAAGGATTCCTTTGACTTGTTCCTTAAAGGTAGCACCTATGTCCCATAAGTTAATGGACTGCTGCACTTTCTTTCCAAATCCTATGTTCCTTTGTATCAAGCTTGTCATATAAAAGTTAAGGAAATTAAACCCTTTAACCTCTGTAATTCCTTAATGACCATCAGCTCTCATTAAAACAGTGTTGATAAAGGCAGAAATTCTCCTGTTGTCTTCCTCCATTTTCCTCCCATTTTACTGTTATTACTTGGATATTTTTTTTTTTGCCTCATCTCAAACAGCACAGCAAATCCTCAATTTCAAAACACATTTTCAGGAAGAACAAGAAAATTGCAGGAAATCAGACCCATGAAACGAGTGATAGTAAACTCCCATGCAACTTGGCAAAACTACTGGAGCTCCATGGGAGCCCCAATCTGGTGGATTCCAAGTAAAAATGGTTTTGCTCATCAAGCTAAAAAGCATTACAGCATTTTTTTCTCTTCCTTTTCAGAAAACCTTTTTGAATTATGTGGCTGCAGCTGGAAACAGAGCTAGAGTAATTGATAATAGCTGCTTTTTAAGAACTGAGTCTCCTTTTTTGTGTCTGGTAAAAATGGACAGTAAACACTGGCAATACTCATGAAAGAAAACTGTCACTTGCTCAATATTTTTTCAAGGCAGGATATAATAGCTGGGTGCACTAAGTCTAATAGCCTTGAAAAAAGCCACCTAAACAGCATCAAGCTTCTCAAGCAATACACTCAATTGCTGTGAACTGTGGTCACAGACGTTATAGTAATTTTTACACAGTGTAAAAAAACAGCAAAGTGATAACATTGAGATTTTCTCTTTTTTTTTGTACTTTTATTACTATAACAGTAAATAAAAAACTGGAGAGATGCAAACATGCAGAAGTGTACTCACACATACCTCAGAGCTTTGTCATTTAACTTTGGGGAAGTCAAAAAACAATAAAATACCTGAAATTGAGTTTATATTAGCAGCTGAGTAGAGGTACCAAGACATGGATGAAGAGCAAGATCAATGACACAAAAACTGCTGTCACTAATGATTTGGTCATGTTACTTAATGCTGCTGAAAAATATCCTGTGGTTTTAAGAGATCCAAGGAACTATCAAAAAGTTTAACAACTACAAAAAGAAGGTAGGTTACTCAAAGCCTTCTTTGAGGAGCTCATTAGATTTCTTCATCTGTGTCACATCTTGATGACAGGGATGTTGCAGCAAGAGTTCTTGCACAGGAGCTATACTGTCCTTTTCTGTGACAGAAGAAACAACCTTACTCTTTCTCAGTCCTACTCTGAGTGAATCATAGGTGTCAGGGGGAGCTCAGCTTCTGCTCTTCAGATGATGTCCTTGTTATGAAGTTAGTAGAAGCTGACAGAAGTGCAAGTTCACTGGGAGCTGTGGAGCTCACTTGACAGAAAATCCTGAAGAGAATTTGTGCTCTCAGGGACAACTGGGGAAGTTCTTAGGTTGAGCTAAGAATACATGTGAGTGAATTCATGGATGTAACTTGATCTTTCTATTGCTCTTTTGGAAATAGGAATGTCCAAACTTCTTGTGATCATTAAACATCTCCTTCACTTTTTATGAGATTATAAATTTTAAATAGAACTCACTCGCTGTTATCCAAAGTGTGTAGTTACATTAGGTCAACACATATTCCCTTTGCAGTTTCAAGTATTATTTGAAGGATAACGTACAAAATAATGTATGTACATAGAGTACTAAGTTAATGTTATCTACTCACTTGTAAATGATGTTTCTGACTTGGATATGATAAATTTTCAATAGTGAGGTTCATTTTGAGAAGAGTGTATATTGCTATTTTAATATTGTAGGGGAACGGCGTCCGTAAAGGTAGACATTGGTGAAGGAATGAAGAAGGAAAGAACAACACATAACACCACATAATAAGCAGAGTGAAAAATTAAAGAGACCAAATTATTTTCTCTAAAGTGAAAAATGAGATCAGTCTCTTCACTTCTCAAAACAACCTTTTCAAATTTCCAGCAGGTTTTGCTAATAAAAATTAAAGGAACATATTGTTTGCTACAGTGACTGTGGCCCTACATCAACAGATGCTGCATGTGGGACCAAAATCTGTCCACAAAAGAAAACAAGAAATAAAGACTTTATGAACTGTCTGGTTTGTTCACAGAACAGACCTCAGGCCTAATGAAGCTTGATACACATCTAAGCACCCATTAGAAATTCTGTGATAAGAAAGTAAAACATCAATGTGAACCAAGGCTCAGGACATCATGGGAAGCAAATGGAAAGGAAGTCAAGCACCAAGTCTGAATAGCAAAGAGTCATTACAGACTTAATCATGTTTCACAAGGATAGCAGTAGTGGCAGGGCAAGTTGTGAAGCGTTTTCCTTCCAGTAAGCTTCTATGCAAGCAAGTCTTGCAAGTCTGACGTACTCATGCTGAAACATGCTGCACATCTATACCACCCGCGCCCCCCACCACCACCACTTTAGGATGCTCCCTACCCACTCTCCAAGGAGGACAGTGATACTCAGTGGACAGGAACTACCATTGCGCCCTTGACATTATATAGGTAAGCCAGAAAAATACGAACTTGGTTCTCTCTCCTCCACGCAAATGTTTATCTAGGTACAAGCAAGGAAAACTTGTATTGGAGTGCCCATAGTAAGAGTAAAGGAATGCAGTTGATAGCAACATTTTCATTAGAGCTACTTGATTACATAAATCAAAAAACATAATTGAGAACATAAAGCAAAAAAAGCACTAGCAACTGGAGATTTCATTGAAGCAGGTATAAAACAGAATATGGCAGATAAAAGCAATAAAGGCTTAAAACACATCTGCAGACAAACATGAAGCTATGCTTCTCATACCGTGCATTTTAATCAGAAGTCAGACCCAAAAATGGGCCGAAGGAATGAAGAATGAGGGCCAAAGGATGCAGGAAAACACCTCCCAGAAGAGCATGAAAATGACAGCTAGAATGAGTAGAATATATATATATATTAAAAAAAAAAAAAAAAAGAATGGAAAGAGAGCAGAAGGGAAACAGGAATATTCTAGGACAAATTAAATGTATGCCCAAGGGTCAAGAATGCCATCTAGCAATATGTGGAGAGGTGAAAGCAGGTCACAGAGAGATGGGATAAATGTGGTCCAGGGTACAAGAGAGCTACTGGTACATAGCCCAGGCCACTCAGGAGACAAAGGAGGACTGAAAACACAAGAAATGGCATCACATTTAATAAATTTGAGGGAGATACCAAAGGACTTTTTATTTCAGTGTAAAAAGTTTAATATAAAGAGCTACAGTTTGGGGAAAAATTCTGAAAAAAGAGGAAAAAATATTGATAAAATGGAAGATTTAGTCCTAAGATGTTTGTTAAGCACCTTTTGTAATTGAATAATAAGTAGCTTTTATTGTAGGGTTCAAGAAGAACAGATGCCTGAGTCTGCTGCCCAGCCTTCTGATCACCAGGCCGTATCTTTCTCCCCTAACCTGACAGACCAGAGGTAGTTTTTACTTGAATTTTTAAAGTCATGGTTACAGATGTTGAGTACAGTTAACCTATTATCATAGAGCCAAATTATTCAGGAAAATGGTTGTCATATTATTAATGCACTTACCAAATCCCTTTACAGTTTCCCCTGCCTATGTGTTCTATATATTAAGGAATACTATGTGGACTTTGCAGCCAAGCAAACACTTACCTCCTTTAGCAGCTGTCAAGTAAACAAGAAACAGATTAGAATATTTGCAGAAGGTCTACGCAAATGGAAATGCCTTGCTAGTGACTCAAGTTACTACATAAATAATACAGTATAACATTTTTGTCACTATAAAAACTCCATTAAAAAGTTGAAAAGACACAAAACCCTCTATCATGATATGAAGTTAAGAAAGAGTTCTCCCTACAAATGGGAAACAATAGAATAGGACACTATCAATGTTTTAAACTTTTTTTTTCCTGGCACCTTTAACTGGGTGAGTGATTATATTAATTTATTTTTCTTACCTTTTAGAAAAGGCTGGAGGTCTCTGCCCTTATCTTCATTGATTTTGCCTTCCAGAGAGGAAATCATCTTGCTCACATCACTCATGGCAGCAGCAATGTTGTCAACCTTCTTCTGTAGAAAACTCAGTTTCATCTCCTGCTTGCTAATCTTCTCGTTCATTTTTTGTGCAAGTGCTTGGTCAGAGGACACAAGAGAGGGTAAAAAATAGCATTATTAAATTGTGTGTACATTTGGGGGATGAAAGTATAATTGACTTGAGAGACATTAGCTGAAAGTGGAGTAAAAAGTTTCTGAATTATTAGCCATGAGTGAATCATCTCAATTTTTGTCATGTATCATGTATTAGTGACATTCAGCAGCACAGCAGTAACTAATTACTGAAGCATCTGTATCCATTATAAAGTATTTATAATTCTAGAAGAGTACTTGGAATGGTTAACATATTTTAATCAGCATAATGTCAGTCTTCCTCCACCTAGCACCCTACAGGGGATTCAGTTAGCTCTCATTTATTCTATCTCCTTTAACATAATCACAAAAGCATTAATTTTTACTTACCACTTATAAGCTAACAACGGCATGAATTTACAATGCTTGCATCTGAAGGAGCATACCATCTCTTCAGTGTTGGGGTCAAACTAAAGACTAGCTCAAAACAGTGGCAAAGCAGGAAAAATGCCAGAAAAACACCTAATAAATGACTAGAGAATTATTATTTGTGTCTCATTTTAAAAAAACCCAATCTGTGAAGTTCAGTTCATTTTAAAAACTACACAGGATTTTCCAGACATCTGTTGTCTCTGATGCAAGAAGGGTTGGATGGATGTTTTTAGGTTAGGTAGTGGTGAATAAGGCCTTGATCTTGCAAATCAAGGCACTACATGACTCATACATGGGAATTTTACTATTTACAGGGATGAGACAACCCAAGATTTTTAGATCTTGGCAGAATTAAATACTCTACAAATCTCTTTTCGGTTCTTTCAATGATTCAGCCTATATGGCCTACCTTATAACCATGATGATACTCTACATGATCCAAGCCATGCTACGGCTTAATAAACTGCTCTACAAGAAAACTTTCAACAGCGCATGCAAATATATCCTGCTGTAAATTTATAGTATTGCTATTATCTTATGTCACTTCTCATTATAACAGTGCCCTTCACATGGCAACAAACATTTATAATCAGAAATAATGTGGAAACACAGGAGCCTAATGAAAGAAAGAGCAAGCTGCACGTAAAAGGGCATATCTTATGACTTAATTGATTTTCATCATTCAAAATGATGGCAGAAAGCAAAAAGATTCAACTCAGTAGCATTCATCGAAAACAAACAAAACAAACAAAAAAACCCAGGAAATTCATTAAATACATCAAGTCCATACAGTCATGTGCCAATATCCACAAGAAAGCTCTCATATAGAGGCACCTGGGTTGCAAAATCATTAATAGAGCAACCTGATGGATATAGCTGTTACGGGTTAGGATGACCTCCTGCTGTCCGCTCTGCCCATCCACGGTGTCTGTTGCCATAGAGGTAAACCTGTGTTTATGACTGTTTTCAAGTCTGGCAATTCTCAGCTTTGCTCAGGGTCCCCACAGAGACAAGCAATTGCTCTACTTCCTTTGTGTGAAGGCTCTTAATCATAACACTGCTCTCTGACTAGGAGCAAGGTGTAGATACTTCTGCTGCTGCTCAAGTCATGCTAGGAGATAACAAGTTGAAGTCATTACCGGCTCAAGGCACAGCGACCAAACCTGGGGAACTGCCATCTGCAGGGTGCAGCCCCTTCCTCAGTTATGTTTCTGTGCGCTGCTCTCAAAGGGACGAGACAAGCTGCATGAATGAACCTGAAGGTCTGGTTTATACATGCACAGCTGCATAGTAGGAGCTCAAATGGAAATCTGGCTTGTGGAGTCCTGGCAGCTCTCAGTGAAGCAACATACTATGGATGGTGGAGAGTTTTAGCCTCAGACAGCATTTGCAGGGATTGCAAAGAGAACAGGTATCTCTAATACAATCTGATTTAAAAATCACTGAGAAGTAATTAATGCAGATCTCTGAGATGCAAATTTTCAAGTTAGCTCTCAGAGCAGAAATGCTATCAAAGAAGGCTTGTTCGCTTTCACGCCATATCAATGAGGCTCACTTTATCATAGGAGTCCTGATATCTTGGCAACTTCCACCAGGGTCAAGGACCTTTTTTTTAACTCCTCCACGCAGCAAAGTGCAAGAGCCTTCTCCTTTCTAACTCCCACTTGAGACTGCCTTTCTAGATGTCCAGGCTGCATTTAGTCTTTCCCACCCTAGCCTCTGCTTTCTTATTTTCCCTTGTCTACTATTGAAGAAAACACATACATGGCCATTAACAGAGACACATCTACTCTCGGTTTAGAGCCACAAGTCTGGATTCAGACTCTGTCTTCACTGTACATGCATGAAGATTCCACTGTGAACTCAGTATATTTACAAAGGGAACATATAAACCTGAGAATATAGTTTGCCTCATTATTTGTTCTGTAAAGTGCCTTAGAATTGGTGCAGGTTATACCAATTGAGGGAAGGACTGTAACAGTGCAAAGTACAAAATAGAGTGGTGAAGACATCTGTAATCCAAACACCAAAGGATCAGAAGAAAAGGAAGGTAGTGGGGAAGTTCAAGGAACCTGCCTGTTTACTTTACAGTGTCTTCAACCTGTTGTTCACCTCCAGGCCCCTCACCATGCAAACTATGGAAGCTCATTTGGTGGTATATAAATAACATAGCCAAATAATTTGAACCACTTGGCACAAAAAGTTATATGTACCTACAGCAAGGGACAGTGCATTTGTCAGATATCACAAATAGAGAATATTTTTCCCATTTTCTTGTTCTAATACATTTCATGTATTTTTTGTTATTTCATCACATGATATACTGATTATGGGCAGTTCTCTGAATATAAAGACTTTATTTCTAAATCACTGTGCATTACCAACATCTCTGCACCCTTGAAGATAAACCTTCCAGATATACCACCTGGAATATATTAGAGTCTAGCAATTACTTGACTACATCTAGCTCATGGGTCTCTCTTCATGTTTCTTTATAGTCAACACTTGATATTTGAATTCTTAGCTAATTAGACTGATCTGATAAATCACATCATTGTTTCTGCCTCCAGTTTAGCGAGTGTGCAAACACGCCTGGCATGAAAAAAATTATCTTCCTATGAATGCTTATGCAGAAAACTATGAAATTAATTTTCTGGAACATTTGTGCTGGTAAACTTTAAATCACACAGATGGTAATGGAAAATAAATCTAAAGGGAAATGAGCACACCCAAAAACTCAAGAGAGCAACAGCAGCTTTTCATGCAGTAGTCACATAAGTTAATATCTCAACAGAGAAGACTTGGACTAAAAGCATTATTGTCACTAACTAGCTCCAACAGGGCTGAGCGCTGTACACACACAGAAGAAAACATTGATCAATATGCTCCAAAACCTTAAAGTATAGACAGACAGAAATAAACACAGTAGTGGGCAGATAAACACTACAGTAAGACATGGTCATATGAACTTCTGCAATATAACTGTTTCATCATCCTCAACCATTGTGTGGTCATCCTAGAGTGGCTGAAAATAAACTTAAGCTACCCTTGCCAAAGTTTGAAGAATCGCCATGC